TGTGTGGTGGGAAGGGTTGGGTCGAGAAAAAAGAGACGGTTGTAATGCTTGGTTTGTTGAAAGAGGAACGAGTGTCGTAAATCAGTTATTTGTCGCTCTAAATACTGATTGTTGTCGGTGGCTTTCGGTTACGTCACTTTATTCGCATGAAATTTCTGAAGTCTGATGTCTCTTTCGATTCCCGACCCATGTTATCAGTCGGGGTTGTAGCACACGGCGTGTAACCCTGACCATTCTCCCCTGTCTTTTCAAGAAAACTCAAAGAAGTAAGATTACTAGTAATTAAGTATAATACGGTAACTGCTATATATATTTATGTTTAAATTTCTATTATTATTTAAAAAAGAATTACTAATTATTATATCACGTTTTTTAACATTTAATTTATTTATAACAAATTTAAAAGATGTTTTTTTAATATTTATAGCTTAAAGCTATAATTGTCAATTACAATCAGTGCACTTTATAAAACCAAACATTCAATAATATGCATTTAGAAAATAATAAAAAATGTATTTATAAAGATCGAGCCAAAATTTGAAAGTGCAATTAGAGAAATTGTGCATTAAAAATTATACATTTGGAAATTTCAAAATAAGTTTATTAAGTTTTATATAACAAAAAAAAAAAACCAAAATAATAATCTTAGCATTCAATAAACGTATCAAGTATTTATTGAAATTTCTAATATTAAACAATTGAATATTCGAATATCGCCTTTTGACCAAGCACAACCTCTACGTATACTATCTATATGTTTAATATACAGAATAATACAGTAAGAGACATCAAATATCACTATTAGCCCATTTTGACTGGTTATAGTATAGGCCTGAGATTTTGTTTACCTTCCTAGAGTTTTGGAACCGTTTATTTGTCTTAGTTAAAACCGGGTTTAATTTAAACGTAAGAAAAACAAAACAGTTTAAGTTCTAGTACTCCCTTCACATTAAACTAATATAGTCACTAATATTACATAGTATTTCTAAATTATTAAATAATATTATCGTATTTTGATAACTTAATTTAAAATAATCCACAACAAGGAACAAATATTTTTAAAACCTTCAGAATGACTGTTTCAACCCGTTTCCAAAATCCACCTACTTTAATAGTATAATAAAATAACGGAATTGAACATTTTTTCCATTTTTCATATTCCACTCCTTCTCCGGTTGATTCTCTTACTCCTTGTACCCAGATGGTTAAAATTGTATCTTCCATAATTTTAGATATTGGTATTTCAAGTCCTGAAACTATAAACTGCGAAACATCTGCTACTCCTAGAAATGTCAACGTTTCAACTGAAGGTTTTCCACTTTGTGATGCCGAGTCAATTTCCGCATATACATAATAATAACCAAAGGAATTAGGGATTTCTACATCTAAAGTGTTGTCTTGAGTGATATGACGATCCTCACTGACTTTTACTCCCATCTCCCATTCTATAATACCTGATATTCGTAATATACCTCGGTGATTTAGATTTTCGATAAGTAAAGTATTATCTTGCCAGAATACATTTTGTACTTCCGGTTCAGGCAAACGTGATGGTAGTGTTGCTGAACTAACAGACAATTGACCAATATGAACTAAAGTAGAAACATTTGACGATTGAGTTATATCAGATTTTACAGCATGTGGCGGGCTAATTATAGAAACACCCAGTTCTTGTACTACCAAATCAGACGATGAACTAGTTGGAGATACCGAAAATGTATTGGGAGGTATCAAAACTTCAGCAGTTATCCAATTATGACTCATCGACACAGTAGTTGTTTTGAATTTCTGGAACGGAAGATACTGATTTTCGGATTCAGATCTTTCATCAACATAGCTTTCATTGTTTAAATTAATCAATGATATTTTCTGATCCTCCGATTCTCTCCTTGTAGGTTTGGTGTCCAAGTTAAAGGCGATTTTTCCACCATCTTTAATCTTTCGATTATGCCCTATTTTTAAATACAACCCTACAACTATTCCACGATGTTCTGGTAAATAAGTAACCCTTGCTCTTGTGTACCCATGTGGAGAAACATTAACATTCAAATCATAAAGTGGAAGCATGAAAATTTTTGTTTTTACTTGATCATGTCCAGCAGTAGTGTATACAGCTACAGATGTGCCACCATTATATGCTTTATCAAAGGTTAGGCTCCATGCAATATCACGGGATATATTAGTACTCATATCAGGCGCATTATTTGATAGGACTTCGGAGATACGTTTGGTCGGGAAGGGTTGAATGGATTGATGACTAAGATGCGACCACTCTTGTTCCAGAACATTCTAACAATAACATGATAATTGTCATAATATTATTCGTTGAACGAAAGAATATGAAATGAAGTCAATAATTACCAATCCCTTAATAAAGAACCTGTATCCGCAACCACGATCGAAATTTGTATAGAAATTATTAATTCCCTGGATACGAAAAAGGAAAATATCAGAAATCTATAACTTTATCATTAAAGTTTATGTTAAACAAACTTACTGGTGAATATCTTGGCACAATGTAGTGTGCAACAGCGAGTCCTTAGTTGTCAAAAGAATAATTCAATTATTAAAAATGGCGAAATTTCTTGGCCATAATTGGTAATTAAAGATTACCTTCATCTTTAAAATTTTGATCAGTTTGAGAAGTTACATCCTCATGTTTGTCTGCACTGCCAATCCAAAATCTTTTGTCGTTTTCCCAGAAACCTTCTTTTCCTAAATGTTCGAATGTCCAAGCTGGAGCGAATAAAGCACAAGATGTTTTGGCTTTCTGAATAACTTTAAGCGCCTAAGTTTATTCACGGACAAAGGACAAGTTTGCAGGAAAAAATATAAATAAATAAATAATAATAAATAGATAATGAAAACCAATTTCTAAAATGAAAAAATATAGAAAACCTTATAGGTATTAAATCTATCATAAGTATTATTATGTTGCCAAGAATTAATTAGACATGGTAACATATAAAAATAATTGAATTTTATTGGAGTATTATGAGAACCTACCCGCCATTACCATAAGTATTACGGCCCCAAATATCAATACCAGTGTAGACATTACGCTTCCGAGAACCAGCCTTCTGTGCTGATAACTCGGGGTATTCTTCGGACCAGGTGTAATTGATAAAAATGCCATCGGTTACGTCAAAAAATGGGTAATTCAAATCATTTAGATGATCTTGCCACGAAAGTGTTCCTTCTTTGGTGATTGAGTCATACCTTTTCATTAGATGAACAATTAGAAATTGAATTCACATAATTAAATGATTGCAAATTATATTGACATTTAAAATAACAAACCAAAGGACAACCGATCCAGGTTTGTGTTTATGCATTTGTTGAGTAAGATAGTTCATAAAAGTTATAACTTGAAGAGCATGAAGGGATCCACCAATCAAAGGTGATTCGATATTGATGAACCAGCCGTCAAAATTATAATACATAGCCATTGAAACTTTATTATACATAAAAATTAATATTAACAATATCAAAATTAGTATAAATGCAAAATTACGAATGAATATGTAATTAAAATAGTAGTAGAATCACATTAATAACTAACCCAACTTATCTGCAAATACAGTGCTCACTATTCTTCGGTCAACGTTTTCGGAATCATCAAGCGGTACGTTTGTATGTGGGCCTCGTACCCACAATTCATTTTCTAACATATCTCTGGCCCATTCGGTAATAAAAGTTCCTAAAACTTTAACACCATTTCGGTGTGCCGCATTAGTCCATTGTGGAGGTGGTATTGCAATTCGGTGGTGAGAGAAGCTTCATTAAAATATAATTAAATTGAATATAATTAACCAGATTGCAGAATTTAATTTTGTACATATTTATTTAAAAAAAGAATAATTACTAGATAAAAATATCTATGTATTGCCAGTACTGAGAGCTATACCCAATTTTGAAGAAGCTCTCAGAGTAGCCTAATTTGTATAGCAAGTTAGCATTTCAAATATTTTTTAGAATATTAAAGAAAAGTCGAACTTACCACCAGCCATATCGTGACATACTACTACTTGACAATCTCTTTTATCTTTCTCCTCCTGTGTGGCATCATTTTTGAATGTAGGCCTTTCTCGTAAATCAACCTTTGCCACGTTAAATTCATCATTTTCAGCTTTCCATTTTGATAATTCGGATAAACTCGTCAAATAAGGAGAACGTGGTATGGAAAATTTTGAATGGGGATTTTCATGATAATAAAGTTTCTTCATGCTATTACGTACGTATTAGATCAAAAACATCAGAAACATCACGATCACATTACAATTATCGTCATAGCAAATAGATCTGCATCTGTATGATAATTGGTCAAAGATAATTGGTTCATCAGCAAATTCTCTAACTGATCAACGAAACTTTCTTTCGAGGCATTTATAAAGTAGGTTACAATTTCATCCTATCTTCAGTGCTCTTGCCATCTGAATTTTCCTGTAGACCCCTCGCGGCTAGCGTTCATACTTTATTATATTTTCAACAAATCCCACCTCTACTGACACAAGCTATCATTGACAACTGCAAAATGTCTGTAAAAAGTTATATTAGACACTGTAAGCACAAGTCAATCTCCCTAAACGGTGCTAACAGTAAAAAATCCTGCAAATTTTGCTATTTATTAATTCAGCATTCCAATATAGGCTGCATATCTCATTATAATGACAGTCATAAAAGTTGGGCTTCTCAGACCTAATTATATTTTTCTGAAGGATTGATGGCCATTTATACTCAATTAATATCCTTTATGCGTACGCTAATTGATTATTTTAACGATTTGTTCTATCAATGTTATAGTAATTAATTTTTTATAATGTTTTAAAATCGAGAATGCAACGAACGTTTGCAGTGTTAGCGCGATCTGCATGGAAAGGTATTTCTTAGAATTAAACTAAACGGCTTATAATCATGTAATGTTGAATTTGTCTTATTCTGTTGATAATAATAGGTCCGTATTTTGTAAAGCTTCCTGAATTTCGCCAGGCCCAAACTACCGGACAACCCATAAGAACCACAGCTCGTTCATGTACAATATTACCAATATTTGTAGGTCTGAAATTTTTAGTACATAATGGCAAAGATTATATACCAGTTACAATCACTGAAGAAATGGTTGGGCATAAGTTGGGTGAATTTTCACCGACTAGAAAGAAATTTTCATTTAGAAAAACGAAGAACAAGTAATTTGAGAGGGGTTTCTTTTAATAAGGGGTTTCTTTTAATAAGGAATTTCTGATGTTGTCCAGCAACTTGCATACGAGTTTAGTCATCAACAAACTGCCGAAACTCTAAAACGCGAACTACTTGGTTGTGTTGTATCTTTATTACTTGGTTATTTGTTAAGAAAAAGGAATCATAAAATAAGTTCAATAATCGCATTTGCAAAATTACTTCTATGTATGCTATTGCATATCACATCGTACATTTCTGTTAAAACTGTTATCTAATTAGAGTTTCTTTCTAGTGATAAGAGTGACAATTCTAACAAAATATAATGTGATTTCTACAACAAAGTGGGTATTGTTTTGGCGTTTTAGTATTTTAGCATTCTAGTATTCTAATATGGTATCGAAGTTAGAACGATGAGTAAAATAATTAAAAGTTTTTTTATACTTTAATCAAATTAAAATGTCATCATGAAATTATTGAAGTGCAGTCTACTCTTTATATACCGAACCCTCGGTTCTGACCAAAAAAGAAGTTCATTATTTAGAATTACTATGTTTTCTTAATGCCGTAGCTTTTACTACCGTAAAGTATGAAAAATAAGTACGCTTTTTTTAATAATTAATAGTTGTGCTTATTCACTAGTAATTTGAAGATCGCTAACATATCTCATGATTTAGAGAACGTAATTAATTTAATAATGCAAAAAGAAAAAAGAAGTTATACTGTTAACTTCAAACTTGAAGCTATTGAATATGCAAAAGAAACCAATAATTTTCAATCGGCACGTAAATATGGTTTATGCATACAGCTGATACTATAAATGTAGAATACAAATTTTTATTATAAATGCGTACTTATTTACCGTATGTGCTTATTTTTTCGGTAAGTTTTTTCGCACATATTAAATTATAAAGTTGATCTATAATTAAATTTAGGTGGGTACTGTGTGAAGAACCAGGTATTATATTTGGGGATATATTATATAAAATTAGTACCCGAATCTTAATCATGAGGTTTTATTTTTGGGAATACTGTAAGCAGTGGTCACCGATAACCGAAGAATCATCCATTTAATTAATCTCTAATTCGTTACTTCCTCATGGTATACATATTTTTGCAAATTCAAATGTTCGCTGCAATATTGATATTAGGGTTATTCATAATTAACTTATTTCGAAAATAAGTGGGGTACAAAATGCCCTATTTCTGGTTTGAAATTTTTGAAAGCAGAAAATGAAATAGGAGTTATCCTGAGACAAATGAGTAACCTTTTTGATGTTTTTATTGTATGATACTATCGCTATCATAATAAATTAAAAAAGAAATACAAATTATCCCTTAAATTTTTTTAAAAAATTCTTAAATAACATTAGGATAGTCTTTTATTCGAAAGAAATTCATGATCATAAAAGTATTAATTATTATTGGTATTATATAAATAAGCTTACAAATCAAAATAAATGAAATAAATACTTCACTAATTTAATTCGAAATCAGAAACCCGAACTTTAGTTCTGAATCACCCCATTGAATGATTTCTCAAATAATTACTTCATTTCAAGCCCTAAATCGAGACCATTTTACATTAATAATAATAATATGACTGATTATTTTACTTAAACCAATTTAGGGTTTGAAATGAAATGATTGTTCACATTGCTAATCACGTGTTTATAATAACCTTAATTCTTATCAAAATCTTATTAGCTAGTATTATATCGGTTTGGCAGAATCTCCTGTAATTTAACCTATTTTCAACGTACAGTGGTAGATAACTCTACAACCTCTTTAGAGGCTAGCATTTTGGTTTTCAACCGTTGATCAAATGGGAGATAAATGTATATTGTTACCATCGGTTGGGAGAGCAATTGCGGATGTTAATCCAATTTAGCTCCGATGGTTAACTTGGTTCGGGATCTA